CTTTACAAGGGCTAGAGGAGGGCGGCCGGTTCTCAAAAGGTGTTGTGCCGGGGTTCTGCTGCTGACGCCTCTTCGGGAGGGCCTCTTGCAAGTCTTCCCGGGAGGCATTTCTACGGGTTGGCCTTCATATTGGTCATTCCGGAGCCCCTGTGTGTTGTATTTCCTAAAATTCCATTTGAGAAACTGTCTCTTGAACATTCTCTCTCTGAGGATAGCCCAGGGTTATCAGCGAACTGGATCAGCCTTCAATTCGCATTGGGACTGGTGCTTACGTAGCAGAGAAGGAATGCTCTTCATACATGATTCGCCTGATCTCCTTCAACGGAAGATTCCTCTCGAGATACAGGTGCCGAATCCCTTCCTTCCTCTCCTCCCAATCTTCTTGCGACTGCGGATGCACAACATCATTCCTCGTCACAAGCACCAAAGGCCTCCCAGGATCAATTGCAGAGGCGGCACCCGCCGAATCAGCATCTGAATCCATCCCTGAGGAGCAAGTCTTGGTTTGCGGATCACACACGTGACGAGCCTGAGGCGCCATCGCGCATTAACGATGAATTCACATCGACCGATGTATCGAGAGTCGCGAGTTGCGCGCTTGGGGTTCTGGCGGGTCTCCTGGTGGGAAGTTAGGTTGGTAGCCGCCATGGGCCATGGCAGGGAAAATGCTACCCCGCTGAAGGCCCAACATGAATGTTCTCTTTCAGCCCTGTCAACGGCCGCGATGGATAGGGAATAGCCTGCCCGGGCTGTCCCTTTTAGTGTTCAATGCCAAGCCTGTCATTATTGAGTGCAGCAACCTTTTCGCGCTGCAACCTTCTTGCTGTGGTCTTCATTGGGCACAGTTCACACACATCAGTGTTGCCTGCCTCTGTGTTACCCCAGAAAACGTATGTCTAGACCACACTCTCCCTGCTAATGGTCTTCAGCCTTCTGGGTTATTGGCAACCGCCTCATAATGTACTTAATACATCAGATGTGGCGGTGTATTGAAGCGTGGATTGTTGCTAGCCCGCTTGAACACCACACGGCACTTGGTGAGGTAGCATTTGAAGAGGACCAACGGATGGTGGCTGGCAGCTTGTGCACTTCCTTCCAGTTCGAGCTTAGCAGGTAATTCTAGCGTGCGGCGAGTGTAATGAGGTGGCAGGCACCTTCTTACAGAAGATGAGAATGAGGTGGATTAACATCCGGGCCGCCTTCAAGAACATCAAGTGGTGTTTATGCATTTGAATCGCTGAGTATGATCGAGGAATAAGCATCACGACCTTCAGCGGCTGATGTTACTGCGCCAATGAAAGACAACGACGCCTAATGGGTTGGGGGTTCACGTGTCTGCGGGTCGCCAATGAACCCACAAAGTTCTCGAAAAGTTCCGGAGATTCAAGCCGCATGAGGTAGTGCTGACAGACCGCCGAGCCGGTCAACCATAAGGTTCCGGGAGCCGGTGCCAGCGCCGAGTGTTGCGGTCATGCCCCGTGGCTCCTGAGTCCGCCTCTCCGTATGACCCACATAGGCGCCGTGAGCTCCGTTTCAGCACTGCGACCCTCCAAACTGTGCTAAATATGCCCCTAACGGCCCACTGACATGCTACAAACCGAGGGTGATCCGCACGCACGGAGCGCCATCTGCAACTGCCAAGCACGATTGCCTCAGTCGCTTCGCGTGAGATCAGTGAGGAGGGGAAGTTTAACCTGGAGACGATGTGCCATTTTGTTTCTTGGCTGGTCCACGTAAGCTGCTGTTTCTTCCAAAGAGGAGAGGGATGACAAGATTGTGTAACTTGGTTGAGACTGGTGAGTGGAATGAAGCAACGGCTTAGGTGAGATTGTGGCTTCAGTGAGATTGTTTCTCCCCCACGTCCCGAAGGACGGTATATATATGATGGAAGGTTCAAGAAGACCTGCTTCTCAGACGATAACTCTCAAACCATCCAGCAAACCATAATCCAACTACCACCTTCTCCAAACAGACCGGCAACCACCTGTCAGTCAAACCGAACAATATCTACCAACATGTCAAACGTCAAGACGATCCCCACAAGCGAATACGACGCCGTCGTCAAGGTCGTCCAAGACTTCTACATTGGCGGCTGCGCCAAGGGCGATAGCGCCCTCCTCGCCCAGGGCTTCCACAAAGACGCCACAATGTATGGTCACATGGCGGATGGCGCCCTTCTCGGCGGCCCCATCCAGAACCTCTACGACTTCATCAGCAGCGCCGGGGCGGCTCCCCAGATGAAGGCGCGGTGCGACATTCTGGCGATTACACCGACGACAGCTGTGGTGAGGGTGGACATGGAGAAGGACGCGGCAGGAAACAGCTACACGGACTTTCACTCATTGTTGAAGTTTGACGGGGAGTGGAAGGTTATTTCAAAGGTCTTCCATACTTATGCTTCTTGAGAGGTTGGCGGGTTGAAGCAAAATGATGGATGGGGCTCAAGGAGGCTCGGGCTCAAATGGGCATGAACACCATTAATTGGAATGGAAACGAAGGCATAATGATTCTTACTCTCACTTGATCACCAGAGTCAATATGCGAATAGCTTTCTCCCTCATGTCACGAGATTGCTAAGGTGTCGATTGCGTATGTATCCGATGTTTCGCATCCGTTTTCCAATTTCTTTCTTTCGAACAATCCAACCTAGGCCCACCAACTCTACTCCTTCCACCATTACAAGCTTCAAGTGGACGTAGGAGGAGTGGTGACGTGTAAAGGGGATCTTCATGAGTGAAAAGACCTAACACAAGGACAAGAAATGTATGGAACCGACTTGGACTGATTCAAATGAATCAACGGAAAGAGATGTGTGAGGGCAGCATGCACCAAAGACGAGCCCAGCCGGAAGGCAACCTAGACGTGATGCCTCTGCAACGGGGGGGGGGGGGGGGGGGGGGGGGGGGGGCACTAATCAACGTCTCAAGGTTATGAGACATGGATTGACGATATGTATATAAGTACTTACCCTCGAGAAACCTATTAGTGTGGCATAAAGATTAGAGGCAGAATTCACGAAGGATCATGGTTAAATAGTGACATCACGGGTCCTCAATCCCCCAGAGCCCTTATTCTTGCGCCAACCCTCGAGCGCCTACCATCAAGCATCCTCAACTCATTATCTATGGTATGAAGCTGGTCGCTTGCACTGCAAAACATAACCCCAATATTCTTCTAATAAGAATAGTCGGCACAAATGTATGCTGTTTCTCTCAGGCTTCTTGCGCCTTCGAATATCATACCGCACGATGTGTTGTTATTGTAAGATCACTGCATCATGTTGCGGCCGAGACTTGGGCCATTATCCAGGAGCATTGGCATCGGCCGTCATTGAAGAAGTATTCGTCAGGTGTATCCCGAAAGAAATATCAATAGAAGAGATCCCTCGTCGTACAAACAACGAGAAACTATTTTCTAATAGTGTGAGATCAGTATTTTCGAAACCTGAAGGTTTGTCCTCCCTCTATTTCTGGCTTTGCCATCCGAAGACGAGGTATGAGCAATTCAGATGATAAATATACCGCTTACGGAAAGAATACTGCAGTAGTCACCGTAGGCGAATAAAAGCTTATCGTATGACGCACTTCTCCATCTTTCGTTCTCAAATGAGATCGCATTGCTTCAAATGCTTTGCTCTTGACAAGTTGATCATCAATGCGGTTTCTGATACTGTTCATGCAGGCAAATACCTATGCATGCCTAAGAATACCCCGTGGGTTTGAAGAGAAGATGAAGACAGACGGGACCAGTAACGGACAACGACCTCTCAAGATCCATTCCTTACCTGATGACCTGCAGTCTAATGACTCCTCGTACTCCTATCGACTCGAGACCAGCATACGTCAGGAAATATTTGTCGCTGTTGAGCAGAAGACGACCCAAACTCGTTTATACCACTGACTCCATCGGCCCAACCTGAGGCGCAACTCAACTACATATATTTCCAAGAGAAATCATGACAATGGGTCTGTGGCAGAACACAGCCAAAAAAAAAAAAAAATAGCCTGCAACGAGCTCGTTTGTTCCATTCTCTCAACTGCAGCGGCTTTGGGAACATCTTAATATGCTGCGTAGTCACCTTTCCCGCAAACTTTGTCGCGGATTGCACCAGTCTTGCGTATACAATAGAATACCACCACAGAGATGATAGAAGATACTTAATGAGGCATCGCAGAGCTATGTGGCTGCGAAAAAAAAGTGTGCCCGACAAGGAGATTGGGAAGCAGTGGAATCTGTGCGTCAAAACCAGACCGCAACGGTGATTGAATTTGTGTGGCGAAGGTTCCAATCGTACTGCTACCGTGGGATCTCTCTTATACACAGCAGGCCAAACAGCCAAAAACAGAATACCCCGGCATCGTGTTCAGGATCAACGAATCTTGTCTTGACGATCCACCGCCCGTGATCATGCTAGCACGCGAAACCCGCAAATCAAGCAGGCTTGACACCCTGTCTAGAAGGCATATCGGGTGGACTCTGGATCCAAATTGGGGAACACCCCTTGATCAGCATGCCTCTAAGTTTGGCACTCCAAGTCACTCGAATTTTTCTAGAGTTACAGTCACGACGTCTCAGAGCATAAAAGGTGTGGCCAATGACGGGTATTGTCATTCGTAGACAATTACTAGCTATTGTACAGTGTACGCCAGACATCCATCTGGCAGGCGATGCAAATCGCACCGCATCTCAATGCATTCAAAGCCCCCCTTCCTATATGCGTCCGTTTCCCCTTCATTTCCGTTGATTTACGGTCATTCCCCGACGATGCAAATGCTGTACCGGACCCATGATGCTATGCCGATATGAGAAAATCAAAGTAGAAAAGTCGCCGTACCTGTCCCCGGCCGCCCCTTTCTTCCATGTTCCGTGAATAATAAACCGAGTTCGTTTCTCCGCCTCGATTATTGGGCGTTTTTTAGACAAAAGAAAAGGGTACCCATCTCCCTAAATCCAGCCAAATAAAGTTGGATATGTACAGTGAGCCGCGTGGGCGGTGCGGATTAGTTGTCGTGTCTGAAGGTGCACTTGTCGCCTCTGGCACACTTGCCCTGCTGCCAGAAGCTGCAAGGCTTGGTTCCGATGAGGGCGCGGTTGACCGGTCGATGAGGAGGGAGCGTGGCCCCGCCTGGAGCGTTGCCTTTGCGGTTCTTACCCTGCTTGCCCCTGCCACCCTCGCGATCGCGGTTCCGATCCCGGTCGCGTCCACGATGTTCCTCAGATTCCTCCCGACTGTCCCGGTCGCTGTAATCGATCAACTTCCGTCCGTAAGATGGTTTGTTATACGAAGGATCCGGGGTTTGATCGACAGCAGGCGGCTCGGGGGCAGGGGGGGGCTGTTGTTGCTGAGGCTGTTGTTGCTGCTGCTGCATCTGTGCGAGCATCATCAACTGCTGGTAACCCTGGTCTTGAGGGTTGAGACCGAAGGCACCGGCCTGAGGTGCGCCCTGGGCGGGCTGCTGGCTCATTTGAGACAGGAGTGCTTGAAGCTGAGCATCGCCTACTTGCGGCATTGGCGCTGCTGGGGCCGGCGCGGGTTGAGCGGACTGCTGAGGCTGGCCACCTGGCATGGATTGCATCAGAGCCATGTACTGGGCATACTGTTGCTGTTGCTGGTAGTAGGCTGCCCACGCGTCCTGGTTGTCCTGGTTCTGGGGCGCTGTCTGCTGTGCGCTTGCTTTCGCCTCTGCATCAGCCCGAATTCGTTCTTCGGCATCCCTCTTCGCCTTGGCCACTGCATCTTTCTGGAACCCAGCCCACCATTCTCTGACTCTCTCTTGATCATGAGCGAGCCAGTCAGGCGGGTTGGTTGCAGGATAGGGCAGTCCTCGCAATTTCTCGACAACCTCTTCGATGCTGTTCGCGGCCGCCTGGATACTTGGGTCCGGGTAATCGTAGCGTCGCTGAGTCTGAGGTGCTGCCGCATTGTAAGGGTTATTGTCCCTCCAGTCCTTCAACTTGTCGGATATCAGAATGCCGTGAACCTTGTCGTCAAATGGTATCGAAGGGATAGGCTGCATGTCGGCTGCAGATGGAATGATCGGCTGAGCAGGGGGCTCTCCAGGTGGAGTCATGTTGTACGGTTCGGGAGTGACAGCAGGTGCAACAGGTTTAAGGTTGCCCAGAATGGAGTTCAACTTGGTGGCGGGGTCATCCTTAGCTTCGAGACGCTTCCGAGCATAATATGCCGCAGCTTCCCAGCCAAACTGCTGACTCTCCTTCCATCGCTTCTGAATCTCGTCGAACTTCGCATCACCCTGGGGAAGCTGCACGGTCTTGGCGTCGACATTGGGAACTTCTGGCTCTGGGGGCGGCGACTTAGGCGTGGGAGGAATATCCGAAACGTCCGTGTAGATAACCATGAGTTCCCTGTTCTCTCGATCCGCGATCGTCTTCTGCTCATCGGTGTGGAAAGTCTTACTACCACCTCGGGTGACAAATGACTTGTCGCGGTACTCTTGGGCGATGCGGGATACGTCGGCCAGGATAGGCGGGACATATGGCTGGTAAGGCAGCTCATCCTCGTCGTCTTCGTCTTCGTTGAAGTTGGCACGCTGCTTGAGCATCATTCCCTCAGAGCGATCATCCGCTGCGTCCTTCGTCATATTGTCTTCATCCTCCGCCGCCTCTTTGTGAAAGACACGAACTTGTACCAACTCCGATTCGGGCTTCCAGGTAACCCGCAGTTTGCGGCGAGCCTCCTTCCTGAGTCTCTTTGCCTTCTCGTCGGGAGTTTCGGGGGCGTCTCTCTTGTTAGCATCTTTCGCTTGCGTTGCCTGGTTCTCTGCCTTGGGGGTGTTGATGGAATCAAGAAGAGACGCAATGCTGGAAAGCGAGGAGCTAGAGGCTGCAGCTGGTTTCGGGGCGGCTGCCTTTGGCTCGGGTTTTGGCGGAGCTGGTGCCGGCTTCTTGTCAACATCCATTGGCGTAGCGGAGGACGAGGCTTCGGGCTTTGGGGCTTCCGGTTTTGTCGGCTCCTTGGTGATTGGCTTGGTAGGTCGAATCTTGCCTGCAAGGAGCGTTGACGCGGGACGAGGCTTCGAAGCAAATTTCGACTGGAGAGACCCAGCCGTCGCTGGCTTGGCACCCGTCTTGTTGGCCAAGGTAGTGTTCGACGATTCCACGGCCATCTTCTTGACAGTTCGGGTGTCGCTGTCATCGTCGCGGGCCCTCTTGGCGGGGGAGCTTTCAACAGCCTTCGTTGCCGGCTTGGTGGCTTTGCTAGCTGGAAGGGCCGATGACGTCTTCTTTACCTCGACGCCATTGCTTGTCTCGGTGTCTTTCTTGATCCTCGAGGCAATAGTTCGCACAAGCTCCTTGACCTCGTCGTCGCCCTTGTCTGCAAGACGCTTCCGAACATTTTCGAACTTCACGTCCTTCGAAACTTTCTCAGACATGCTTATGTTGGACATGAAGCGAAGAAGTGCCTTGGGGAGGGGCCCATTGAAGTCGGCGGCCTTGATGCAGCCAATCAACATGTTGACCAAACTCAAAATACCCTTTTGGTGACCGCCCAAATTTTCCAACACCGCTTCGTCGCCGTGTTTGGCCGCCGCCTCGCAAACCCTGGTGAAAATTTCCTTCTTCAGGTCCGTCTTTCGGGTCCACTCGGCAACGACAGATGCCGGCTGGCCCTCCTTGATGGCCTGATCAACCTCCTGCTTTGCTCGGTTCATCTCCCCTCTAATCTTGATCAAGAATTCTCCGAGTGCCTGGACGGCGCTGGCGATGAGCGCGTTCGTTCTCGTGGCGGTAGGATCAATGTAGACAATGCCCAAGATATCCCAAACGGCGCCCTCTACTGGGTCTGCAGGGCGAGTTTCAGGACGGATTGGTTTCTTCCGCTCTTCCTCCTCCTCTTTTTTAGCCTTTCTCTGAGCTTTGGTCTTTACAGCCTCATCAGCTTTGAGCTGCTCTTGGAAGGTGAAAGGATAATCGGCGTATTTCGGACGGCGGTTACCCAGCTGCTTCATCTCACGGTTGTACTGATCGAGCAGCGCTCTAGCCTCAAATTCTCGGTCCTCGGGCTTCGCGGGGATGATCCCGGACGGCCGGTACCGGTCTGCGAACTTGCCCTGGATTTCACATGGAAGTTCTGAAGCCAGCTCTGGGATGATGCGTTTCCCACTACTTGACGGTAGAGCAACAAGAGGCGCGAGTCTATCGTAGCCCTTGGTAGATAACTTTACGGTTCCAGATGATACAAGAAATGGCGCTCCTGGGATTGCGGGGAAATTCTTCTTTGCAGCGGCACTGCGCTTCTTGAACTGGTTCACTGCAGCAAGCTCTTCGTCCGTGCTTGAAGGAAAAACCAGAGTCTCGCCGTCGTCACCTTTTCTCGCCAAATCATTGGGAGAGTCCGCTTGCTCCGGCTCCTCCTTCTTAGTCACACGTTTGCGTTTCTTAGCGGGAAGTTGGTCGGGAGGCGTGGCAGAATCGACTGGTGGTGTGCCGGGTGGGATTATTGGTGCCGCAGCAAGAGGCTGGTGCTGTTGCTGCAAGGTGGGCTGTTGATACGCCGGTTGCTGATACTGGAACTGCGGCGGCTGCTGCTGCTGCTGCTGCTGCAGTTGCAATTGCTGAGCCTGAGGATGAGGTTGAATTGGTCGAACCGGGGCCGGAACCGCCTTTGCCTGCTGGACAGGCTGTGGAGGCGGCTGGGATACAGGCTGCGGCGTGTGCTGGTTCGCGCGTACCTGTTCAACCTTCTGCTTCGGCGCAACCGGCTGGAACGTTGGGGCAACATTGGGTTGGGCGTATTGCGTTTGTTGAGGCACAAGCTTGGGTTGTTGATAAGGAGGTGCTTGATTAGCCTGGAAGGGAGGCGGAGTTGGGTTGGAGAATGGCTGGTTTGGCTGGTGCGCATGTTGAGCTTGGAAGGAGTGTGGTGACTGTGAGTAGACTCTGTCAGGCTGTGCCTGATGCTGCCGGGGTGACTGTCCATAGCCTTGGGGAGCGGGAGAATAAGACTGGGGAATGGAGTCAAATCGCGGCTGTGGTTGTGATTGTTGCTGTTGTATTTGCGCAGAGCTTTGGTGGCCATGCTGAGGCATGAGCTGGGACTCGTTGTATTGAGACACATTGCCGTTGAACAATTGGCTGTTCTGGCCATTGTACTGGAATTGCTGATTCGCAAAGTCTGGCGTGTGGTCGTGGTTCATATTGTCCATGTTTCCACCAAAGTCAGTCTTTCCTTGCTGGCCATACATGTCTTGAGGGAAATCATGAAGACCAGCGAGAGGATCATCTTGACCTGGGTCAGCATATGAAGGGTCCAAGGCAAAGTGGTTGTGGCCATTATGGAAGTTGCCCTGATTCAAAGCGGACATTCCATTATGGTCACTCGCTACAGAAGCGTGGGCTTGGTGAGGCGACGATCCAAAGGGATTGCTCTGAGCACCGTTGCCTTGGGGGGCAAGATGGGAGAAGGCATTTTGGTCATGGATCTGCTGGGTCCAGTCTTGAGCACCACCAAATTGATTTGATCCATTGGAGAACCCAAAGGAGCCCGGCCAGATATTATTATTATGGCTCTGAGCAGAACCTGCCTGGGCGTTGGTCTGCCAGTTCTGCATCGTGTCGTGCTTGAAAAGCCTGATCTTGTCGACTGGCAGACTGGATATGCACGTGATGGATATGGAAAGAAATGCCAAATCCTCACGAGTTCATTGGGCGGAGATGAAGTACACTGCACAGCTACGGCCAATTAGCATTTGTTCCTTCGGTAGCCGGATCGCTGGCATGCAGGCTGGGGTGGCCGAGCGTCGGATTTTATCAGACGACGAGGCAATGAAAAGCCACCTTGATTGGGTCAAACAGGGATGTGGAAGGAAGGTGGGGTGGGGATAAAATGTTTGAGCAGAGTTAAGCCGTGTCTGAGAAGGCAGTTGGCAAGGAGGTATTCTCCCAGTCAAATTGGCTGACAAGGCACCTGGTGTGGGGGAAAATGGGACCCGACGGCTAATTGCCGGCCGGAGACTTGCAGCTTACCTTGGTGGCAGCGAAAGATGAAGAGCGCGGCTAGGCCGAAAGCGGCGGTCCAGCAGGGATGATGGTGTGGTGCTGCGCCGAACAAGACTGAATTCTGATGGGGTGGGAATGACGAAGGCGATCGTGGTGTCTTTCTGTGTCGTGTGGATGAACTGTAACTCCAGTCAGCGATCAGGAACCGGAGTGCAACGGTCTGCGATGTATGGTGATGCGTGATGTGTGAAGAGCTGGATTTGGCTTGAAATCTGTCGATGAACCACTTGGCTCCGGCCCAAAGATGCAGTGAACGTCCCCAGCTGGCGAAGTTGACCAAGAGCAGGCACTCGCGATTGGATGCCAAGTTCGACTTTTGCACATTAGAGACACCAGCGACGTGATCTTTCCCCCTCCTGCGAGGATTGAAGAACGCGAGCGGCCTTGCGTGCTTTGACGACTTGCATGACTGTCTTCGAAGTTTTCAGCCGCTGGAAGAAAAACTGAAGAAGCCGTGTTGAATGTCATCATTGACAATCCAGCGAGGTAGGGCTCCTCGTCTCCCAGTCGACCGATGAATGGTGAGGTGAGATGGTCTTCAGTGTTGGGTGGTCCCTTGTTTGCAGTGGGCTTGATCCTGCCGACCGGTCGCTGTGGTGGTGGTGGAGGTCAAGGCCCGATTGAGGTGCGCTGAACAAGTCAGAGAGTCCCCTGGAGGAGACCCGCCCCCTGCATCCAACCCAGCGGGCTGAGCTGAAGACCAAGAGCAAGCCCAAGCCTAGGTCCCGGTCCAGGACCAAGGCCGCGCAACAGAATCTGACCGGTGAAGTCGGAGTCCCAGGCCAGTCTGCAGGACATGCTGTGAAAGTGAGTGGGTTGATTGATTGATGCGAAGGCGAAGATTGACGGTCTGCAGCAGCATCGACAGTTTTCCGGGAGAACTGTTTCGCGTGGGTTGCCCGTTTTTGCTTGCCTTGCCTCTCTCTCAATGTTCCCCTCTGCACGATCCCAGCCGCCCTCCATCGCGCCGCGAAACAAGGTATTCTGCTTTGCAGAATATTTTAAACAGGAGGGTTACTCGCGTGTCCTTGTCCACATTTCCACGCGCGCCGTGTCTGCGTCTGTCTCCCTTTGATGCGATCCGACTTTGCAAATTCATCGCTGCAAAGAGTTCGGTGCGGGATGAGTTGGAATGCCATGGGTTTATCATGATTTTCACTCATACAAACATTGCCATGTCTGCGTCTCCAGAGGTACGAAGGATGGCGATGACGATTGATGGAAGTGCGCTGATCATGATGGCGGTGCTTAGAGCAGAGGTAGTGCGTGTTGGGGAAGATGGTGATCTCGGGGGCAAGTGGTTGTTTGGGAGTTGGGGGGAGCGTAAGTTTGGCTTGGGGGGAAGGTTTACCATACCCTGCAGTTCGTGTGTATGCCTCTCTGTCTCTCTCCCTCGCAAATATCCCGCCTTTTTGTTCCCGATCCTGAGAAGAGCTGGCCTCGCGACCTTAACGTGGTTCGCGGTATGACTTGATGGCGATCGCGCAGATTACAACATGTTGATGAATGCCCGACAGTAGGGCGAGCGAACTGTCTACCAGAAAGAATGGACAAGATGGAACGATCGCGGAGGATCTGGAAGACGACAATCAATCAGGCCAGCTAGATGCCTATTTTCGCGTTCAAAAGTATCGCGAGACGAGGAATCCGGGTCGGTCAGTGTCGCTGATGTGTTTCTGACGCGTTTTCCTGTCGCTTCTGTACGTAGAAAGGGGTGGGTTTTTCTGATGGTGAAGGAGGAGAAGCGGAACGAGTTGTCGCTGGGGAGGAAAAGTTGGTTCTTGTTTCCCTGTGGCCTGTCCAAAGGGAGGCAGGTAGGTAGCAAGTCACTTTGCGGCCGTAAATTTGAGGCATGAATCTTTTGGATGGGTCCAAGCTGGGAAGGAGCCACAGGCCACGGGCATGACTTGCCTTGGCTGTGACTGGGCAGGGCCTCTCGTGCCTTCCCGCTTACGGCGCGCAGAAAATGAGCCAGTGGCTCACACAAAGCCCAGGATAGGGCCGGAGGCAGGTGCGGCAGGCGCAGGCCGCTGAGACTTGCCCCAATTCAGGCACATTGCGAACAATGTGGCACGTTAGGTACCTCTGGATTGAGGACAGTCAATACAAACACGACGGTTACTTATTCATATGGGATTCAGTTTGACTCTACTGTATCATTCATTGGTATCTGGGCTACGGTTTGCATTGCTCGGGAGTCTGTACAATTTGTGACGCATCGAATGCCACATCGCCGTAGCACGCTCTGCGTAAAGAGCACCTGGTATCCGTCCGTACCTGAGTCCTGACTGCGAATACCGCTGGAGTCAAACAGGTCATCTGGGTCGAGCCGGGGCCATTCCAGCCCCTCCAATGCGCTCCCGCGTGTCGCGGTCCATCCACATGCATCCCAGTCCCGTCCCGCTCACCGCCTTTCGGAAGCCGGAGGCTCAAATATGCCGAGCCATGACATCGTCCAGTCGAGATTGCCGTAAGGTACCCACCCCAGCACAGAGCACCTCACCTCACTGGCCAGCGGAAGCATCCAGGAAATGTGGCTCGACGGCTTTTGAGGACACCGATGCTGGAGCCGTGTACGTACCTACAGCATCACAAGGCGCAAGCACCTCGTCAACTTCCAGCTCTATCGCAACAACCGATTACAGTACAATCGATTGAGGCTGTAGCGTAACTCTTGCCATAGCTTTTGCTCGTCTTGGCATTGGCTTTATGCGACCTGTCCACTCGCATCCCTAAGAGATACCAGCTCCTCCAAGCTAGCTAGAGCTGTGAAGCTACCCCCACCATCACCATTGCCATGGCAGCGAAGGGCCACTCGCTGCGCGATCGCCAGATCTGTATGTCGCATGCCCATTCTCTCACGTTTTTTTTGTGAGCTGTATGCTGATTCGTATTGTGTCGTAGCGGCGCTCAAGAAGCTCCTCAGCTTGAACGACAACATCAATGAGAATGAAGCCGAAACTGCCCAGACCAACGGCGGCGCACTTGGTCCCGCCGGTACCATCATAACCTCCGATGGCGATCCCCTTTGGAAGGTCCTCGTATTTGACGACCTCGGCCGGGATGTCATCAGCAGCGTGCTCCGCGTTAGCGATCTTCGCGCGCTGGGTATCACCATGCACATGTACGGCAAGCCGTCATCGCCGCGCCCCGCCTTGATATGCTAACACAGCTACAGGCACATTGGATCTTCTCGACACGCTATCCCAGACGTACCGGTCATCTATCTTGTCGAACCCACGCCTCAGAACCTACAAAACATTACGAACGACCTCCAGAAGGGTCTCTACACTCCCGCCTACCTGAACTTCCTCTCCTCAATCCCTCGACCCCTGCTCGAAGACTTCGCAGAGCAAACCATCACCGCCGGCACGTCCGACAACATCGCCAAACTGATGGACCAATACCTGAACTTCATCGTTGCCGAACCAGACCTATTCAACCTGGGCATGCAACGAGATCACACATACTGGGCGCTCAACAGCGCGGCAACACAGGATGACGAGCTGGACAGAGTGGTGGACAGGATTGTCAGCGGTCTTTTCAGTGTCATTGTGACAATGGGTGTCATCCCCATCATCCGATGTCCCAAGGGGGCTGCTGCCGAAATGATCTCCGCGAAGCTCGATCGCAAATTGCGCGACCACATCCTCAACTCCAAAGAAAACCTCTTCTCCTCCAGTGCCCGTCCAGCATCAGCAGGCACTCCGACCTCCCGCCCTGTCCTCATCATTCTCGACAGAAACGTCGATTTAATACCTATGCTTTCTCATTCCTGGACATACCAGTCTCTGGTCCACGATGTTTTGAATATGAAATTGAACAGAATCACAATAGAGACGCCTGTAGACGAGAGCAACCCTGCAAAGGGAACCACCAAAAAGGCTTACGACCTGACATCCAGCGATTTCTTCTGGGCAAAGAACGCCGCCGTACCATTCCCACAAGTAGCCGAGGACATCGATGCCGAGTTGACAAGGTACAAGGAAGATGCGGCCGCCGTGACGAAGAAGACCGGAGTGACGGATCTGGAGGACTTGCAGAATGATACCGGCGCCAGCGCGCAACATCTCAAGGCGGCCATCACTCTCCTGCCAGAGCTTCGCGAACGCAAGGCAGTGCTCGACATGCACATGAACATCCTGGCGGCTCTCTTGACCGGCATCAAGAACCGTCAATTGGACAACTTTTTCCAGATCGAGGAGGATGTCATGAAGCAAACAAAGGCACAAATAATGGAGCTTATCAAGGACAGCACCAAGGGAGACCAGCCGCTTGATAAGATGAGACTTTTCGTCATCTGGTACCTCAGCTCCGAACAAGAAGTTAGTCGAACCGAGTGGGAGGGTTTTGAGAAGGCCCTCACCGAAGCTGGCGCAGACACGACGTCTCTCCCCTACATTCGACAGTAAGCCTCCCGCATATTACACGATCTACTATGTACTGACCGCAATCTCAGAGTTCGTGCTACCACCAAGATGACGCAGCTTACCACCATCTCCAATCCTCAACAAAACCAAGCCGCCTCCTCCGACCTGTTTGGCCGCTTCTC